GCGCTCAGCCAGTGAGCGGGAACCGGTCTCCACATGGGATCCGAACCTTCGGCGGGAGCGCCGCCGCACTCCCAAGCGGCGCACTCTCCAGTGCGCCACCGGGCTGGCCCTATAATTCACATTTTTACTTCTAATGATGGAATTGTGTTATTGCCTTTACTGTATACATATAATCTTCATGTTAAATATTTTCTGACAATACTTTACTGACTTCATTGATCACATCAAGCCATTAACTTGGCAGATTCAGTTACCATCTATGAGGAAAACGCAGATAAAGTTTTGTTCAAAACATTATTCAGTTATGTCCAAAATATCTTTAAAGTACTTAGGAAAAAAAAAAATTAGCCCTTTAAAAAATGGCTTCATTAGAGGAAGCTTTTGTGAGCGAAATCAAGTAAGTCATGGTAGTCAGAGATATTTAGAAATTTTTTGAATTTAATGAAATAATTGATACTCTTAATGCAAGAAAGGAACTTCAAAGATGTTAAAGAAGCAAAAGTAAAATGGATTCCGAGTGATGGAAAGTGATTATGGAATTAAAACTAAACACAGTACACAGTTTCTTGTTTTCCTTCTGGGCCTGGCCTCCACCCCACCTCACCCCCACGTGCATCTGAGCCACAGGGAAGAGCAAGCTCTGCTGGCAGACCTCGAACAGCTGAGGGGGCAGTTACAGAAAATGCTGCGGCCAGTTACAGAAAATGCTGCGGCCACAAAGTACAGACATCAGGTAAAAAGGACGTCTGGCCCTGGTGACACCAAGATGCTTATTAAAAGCCTTACACATTGCATACATGGATTACAATATAACTTTGTACCCCAAAATATGTACAACCAATACATTTCAATTAAAAAATAAATACATTAAAAAAAAAAGCCTTCCACACATTGACTGTTACATATTTAGAAGCAGTTAGCACAATTCACCTATTTCCCTTGCTTCCTTCCCTCTTCCCACCCCTTTCTGTAAGTACAACATTGATTGCATCTGACCTGAATACGTTGTTGAAAAACATCTCCAGTTCCAGAGGAAATTCTACTGAAAGCATCAATCAAACTATTGGAGTTTGGATTATCTGGAACAAAGAACTTTAAACCTCCTGAAATACATGATTGGGATGTTAACTGTTAAAATGGGTACAATACCTATGGGTAAAAAACAACCTTTAAGGTAGAAAATAAGGCCTCAGTACATTAAAATGTTTAGAGTGATGTGATATGAGCTGAGACTATTCCCTGTCTTATGTACATTAGTTCTCCCACTTATCTGCAGTATTGCTTTCAGCAGTTTTGGTTACCTGAAGTCCAAAAAAATTAAATAGAAAATTCAGGAAATAAACAGTTTGTAAGTTAAAAAAAAAAAATCACTGTATAATTGTTCCTTCATTGTGCCTCTTGCTGTCTCCTATCAGTAGGAGCATAGAGAAGTCATTAGGAATAAGATCCTTGGGCCTTTGCGATTTTTGAGGCTGTGCACATTAGGTTTCGAAATGCATGGGTTCTGCACATGTAAGTGCTAGTGCCACATAGAACATAAGACCAGAAGAAATGGAAAGGATGTCAGTGAACGAAAGTGACAATGCGCACAGCCAGCAACTTCCCAAGTCCTTAGATATTCTTTGGAAGCTGGTTTTTAACAGCTGCGGGATACTCTGTTGTTTGCTATGCCGTATTAACCAATCACTGTTGGATGTTTTCTAGCTTTGTGTCTGTTATCCACTGTTATAACGCTATAAGGACTATTCTTACATGTAAATCTTTAACTGTAAATCTCCAGTGGCATTTCGTTGCCAAATTCTTTGAGTTCTTTGAGCTCACTTGGCCTAGGCTCTGCAGCACTTGGCTCTGGTGACTGTTACCCAGATCTTGAAACTCGGGTCTCCTCTGACTTCGGTGTTAACACGCTTGCTCTTACCTCTCAGATTGCTTTTTTCTGCCTCTGTCTTTGCTTCTTTGGTTATTTCCTCAGGATAAATTCCTAAAAGTGAAAGTATCAAGTCATAGACTCTTGTTACATTGGTCCAAATTGACTTTCAGAAAAGTATTAAGTGATAGGACCCCCCACAAGTTATGAGCTGAGTCTCACCTGACCCTTCCCACACTGACAGTCTGGATCTTGGCTATTCATGTGGACAGTCAGACTTTCACTCACTCCATGACTGTGTTAATAGGAGAGAAAGAGAATATTGGGCTTGCAAGTCGTATAACTTCGTATAATGTATGCTATACGAAGTTATTACGTAAGCTTTTCCATTTAGTTTTTCAACCACCTGAACATACAGCATCAGTCATTTGGAAGGAAATGTGGTTTAAATTGTCTTACTGAGCAGAATTCACTCTCATTCCGAATTCCCCACCAGTGGGGTATGCACCTCTTCAAGGTCCTCTGTAGCTCCCCACACTCCATGCCCATACCCCCTCAGTCCTCAACTCACCCCATCACAGCACTTGTCACCTTACATGCCATTGTGGTTTGCTTGTGGGCAGGGTCTTTTCCTGTTTGAAATACCACGATATGCCTACAGTTCAGAATAGCGTCCATCATAGAGGATATGGGGTACATCACTATGTGACAACCTTGTCTACGGAATCCTGTGGGTGCTTTTCCTGTTTGAAATACCACGATATGCCTACAGTTCAGAATAGCGCCCATCATAGAGGATATGGGGTACATCACTATGTGACAACCTTGTCTACGGAATCCTGTGGGTGACCAAGACAGGGGCCTAGAGCAGTGGTTCTCAGCCTTGGCTACACATTAGATTCAGATCGGGAGGTATAGCGTCCATCATAGAGGATATGGGGTACATCACTATGTGACAACCTTGTCTACGGAATCCTGTGGGTGACCAAGACAGGGGCCTAGAGCAGTGGTTCTCAGCCTTGGCTACACATTAGATTCAGATAGGGAGGTTTAAATAATTTTAATGGCCAGGCCAGACCACATCCCAGATCAATTAAATCAGAATCTCTGGGGGTAAGACCTAGGCAACAGTGTTTTTTAAATCCCCAGGTGATTTCAATGGGCAGCCAAGATTGAGGAACACTCACCTATAGGCAGCAACAACCACAGCTGATATGCTTTGCTTGCTACCAGACACTTGACACACGGCTGCATCCCAGAAGCTGAATCCAAACTTGTGCTGATTTAGGTGAACCCCATCATTCCTGAAACCTACCACTGGTCTTAATTGGTTTTCCTATGTTTGAGGTCTAGTATGACTGTAAGCAGAAGGTAAACATGCTGATTTTCACTAGAAATCCAAGGGTAAAAATGGTCACAGCTGGGATAGTGCCAGAGTGGAAGGAACAGTTTGGAAAGTTCCCAGATGGTGTTTAAGTCCTCCAGCCCCGCCACTGTGTACTTTTATGTACTCATTCCTTCAGCAAGTGTTTATTCAGCACTATTACATGCCAGGTACTTCGCTAGGCACAGGAGTACAACGGAGAACAAGACATGCTTCTTAACGTTATAGATGATCCACCGTTACTCTCCTTTAGTTGAGACTGTTAGTACCACACAGTAACAGACTGCCTCAAATCAGAAGGAACCTCAGATACAAAATGAGGGAAAGGAAAGTGATGGTGATATGAGGCTTAGGATGCTCTACTGTACCTCAAATCCTTTCTTAAGCCCTGAGCAGATGCTGGTTTCTGCTTCGGTGGACACAGTGGCAGGCAGATATGAAACCAGCAGCTTTCGGTCATCATCACTGTTAATTTGGTGTAGCTGGGCTCTGATCTCTCCTTTGCTATTAAAACTGGCAATGCCCACAAAGGTATGAATTTCAACAATCTGCATCAAGTAAAATTCTGCTGCTTGTTGCAGTCGAAGGAGTCTGTCAGCCTATGTCCCAAAAAGGAAAAAAGAAATTAACAATGTTTGGTTGATAGACAAAAGTATGACTAAGTAACTCAATTGGCAAGTATTTCTGTTAATTCTTTAAAGATGTTGGATCATAAATTTTGAGTTATGAAGAGTGACATAATGCTAGAATATTGTCTGATTAATTGCAGGCTTAAAAATGCACACTTTTTGGGGAAGGGAGAGTGGTTTGGAACTCTGTCCCCAGCAAGCTGTTTATAATTTACCACTCTCTAAGAACACACATCCCCACTATTTCTCTCCAACCCAGAAGTCAAAGATCCATGAAATCAACTGAGACTAGGTTTGTAACTGCTTCTTTTAAAATTCAGTCCAGGCAAGAGGAAACACTGCAAAGAGACCTTGTGGTATAGAGGAGTAGCAGTCAGAGGATACAGGATCTACCCTGGTACTACCCTCTGTCATCGTGGTAATCTTAGGCTGGGCACTTCATCTGTAAAGAGGGGATAATACTATCTTTCTTGTTTATTAAATTATAATTGCTGTGAGGATCAACTGAGATACATATATGCCAGTACAGTTATACTGTGAAGTACTAACCAAGTATAAAGTAAGATTAGTGACCAGGTTCGGGCAGGTGATGCTACTGATTAATTCACAGAGGTTGCTTGTTTTGAAGGCTGTGGGAGAAGAGAAAGGAGCAGCAAGTTGAGCTTAACTGACTGCCGTTCAGAGATGACTCTGATCTCTGTCTCCAACCTAGACATCTCCCTTAATATCTGGACCTGCACTTCGTACTTCTCAGGAAACACCACCAATATAATGTACTAAAGGTGTCTCAAACTCTACACACTTTGAATTCATTGCCTCCCTTCCCGAATGTTGTTTCTCTGGCAATATCAGGAGGTAAGTTGGTAAAACGTTGCTAATTATATGACCATAGAAAAATTACTTCTTTTCATTAGCTTCAGTTTTTCATCTGCAAAATGGACACAGAGTAAATAACAGCTAGTGCCATCATCATGGTCATCATGTCATCATTCTCAATCATGATCTCTGCTCCCAACTAGTTAAGCCAGAAACCTGGGCTTCTCTTTCACTACTCCTCTGTTACCAGCTCCCATATCCTTGAGCAGATCCTATCAATTCAATGTCTTAAATTTCTCTCCAGTCCATACCATGTCTCCATCCCATCTACCACTTCCTCAGAAACACCCAATGTCAGTTACAGCCATACCAATTTATGCCCTTCCCCTGAACAAGTCTTCTAATTTTGCCTCTTGGCCACTGTGCCACTTCCTCAGACACACCCATTGTCAGTTATAGCCATACCAATTTATGCCCTTCCCCTGAACAAGTCTTCTAATTTTGCCTCTTGGCCACTGTGCATGCTCTTCCCTTCCCAGGAATGTTGTCCCTTCTATTCCTTCACCTCACCCCACCTAGCAAGCACCTACTCATCCTTCCAGATTCAGCTCCAAGTTCACCCTCTCAGTGCAGTCTTCCCTGATCACTATCTCCTACAGCACTAGATGCTCCCACCCCAACTCACACCTCTGTGGAGCCTTGTCACACTGTATTGGATTTATTCACATGTGTATGTTATGTGTCCCTCATTAAGTTGTGAGCATTTCAAAGCAGAGGCCCTGTTCTCATCATATCAATATCCCCCAGCCCAGTGCAGTGTAGGCACCTGATATAGTCAACAGTATAGGCAGGAAAAGGGAGAGAAGTTTCCTTTGCCAGAGTTTGTTACTTCAGGTCTTTTCTCACAATATATTTCCCTTTTGCCTCATTCATTCTTGCTCAAAAGAGGCAGATAGCCAATATAAATTATCCTGAGACCATATTTGAGAAAATCATGCCCTAGTCAACTGCAAATTAGCAACATAACAAAATTATGCAGATACTGATTGTATTACTGGAGTTCCTAATATTTCAGAGATAAGCCAAAAAAGGCAAAGATTCTAGGATTATTGATCTAGGACTATTGAGTACAAGAGAATAAATTCTCTCTGAAAAGTACTAGAATAAAAACAGCTAACACTTGATATTTATTACGAACACAGTACTTCATATTTATCTCATTTATTCTACCTCGGTAACCCTATAAAGTAGACAGTGGTATGCTGGTAAATGCTTACCAACTGGTCTTCTGGAAAGGAAAGAAGGAAGGAAGAAAAGAAAGAAGGAAAAGAAAAAGTGAAAAGGTCCTGATTTGTAGCAATTGACAATGTCTGTGGCATAAATACTCCCACTGGGGCTGATTTCAAGCTGTCAATGTGACATCACTGAACGCAGAGTTGGGAAGAGACGCATAGAAGGAGCACACCCATACAGACGCAAAACTAGAAATAGCCTTAGGAATTTAGATCAGGGATCAGCAGATATTTTTTGTTTTTGTTTTTGTTTTTTTTCCTTTTTGTCTTTTTTCGTGTCTGGCAATGGATTGCAACCCTCAGTGTCGCGC